CGTGAAGGAATTTTTTCTTTTTGTGATACGAAAGATCGTCAGGAATGATTCCACTGGCCAAGAAGTTGGCCACATCAGCATACCACGGAGTGTGAGTACTAATGGCGAGCAGTTGCTCGTCTGGGAAGGATTCCTGAATATTTCCTTCAGCTGGAACTTCTTCTTCTTCTGTCTTTCTGGAAAAGGAATAGGAGTTACCAAAAGAGGGGGATTATCAGGAAAAGAAATGTTATTGGGCTTACTAGCCTCTTTTGTATTACTCCCTGAAACGGTGATTTCCGGCTCGACCGGGGTCGGTTGTACAGCTGGCCTTGGTGATTCGTCTGTCGGATAAGGAGGATCGGTCATTTGCAGACCACTTCGGGTGGTTATGGCTTGACAGCTTTCTTTTGGATTGACTTCGGTATTGCTCGGGAATCCACCTTTTGCCATTGTGGACATGGATTGGGCGATTTGCCCTATTTGCTTTTCCATGTTCTTCATTGTTGATTTCAGCCCCTCCATTTCCTGTTCTTGTCGGTGAAGACGCTCGTCATACGTTGGCCCTCGTTGCTCTCTTTGATGGTTGAAATCGGGAGGTGGTTGTAGAGCATTCTTCGGATTGGCATAGGAGAAGTTCTCGTGATTCCGAATTCCCGGGTGGTAATGAGTAGGGTTTTGGTTCTGATTGTTGGTTCCTCGGAAATTGTTGAATCGGTGGTTCATAAAGTGTGCCTGCTCCCAATCGTCGTTTGTGGCTTGTGAGGTACTTGCTGCTGCTACTCGTTCGGTCTGTGGCCCTCGAACTGAAATTTGGGCGACCTGATTTGATAGGATCGCTAATTGTGCTGAAACTGCGGCTAAAGGTTCGAGTTGATGGACTCCGGCCACCTTTTGTACACCACTCCGTTCGGACGGCCAATGGTACGCATTCTCACACATTCGCTCGACAATGTCTCGAGCGTCTGTGGGAGTCTTGTTTTGTAATGATCCACCTGAAGCAGCATCGACTAGAGATCGGGCTGGTTGATCGAGCCCATTGTAGAATAACTCCATTTGATCCCACGGGTTGAATCCGTGTTGAGGGCATTGTCGTAATAAGTCCTTGAATCTCTCCCAAGACTCGTGCATCGGCTCTTGGCTCATCTGTCTGAAGTTGCCTACATCTCTTCGTAGTTGTGCGGTCTTCGAAGGTGGAAAGAATCGTGCCAGAAAGGCTTGTGATAATTCTTCCCAACAGGTGAGTGATCCTGGATTGAGACTCAGAAGCCAACTCTTCGCTTTGTCTCTGACAGAAAATGAGAATAGCTTCAACCGAATGGCATCATCAGAAACGCCGTTAACTTTGATCGTGTCACAAATTTCCAAGAAATTGGCAAGATGGAGATTCGGATCCGCAGTGGCTGCTCCGGAGAATTGGTTCGCCATGACCATGTTGATTAGCCCCGTTTTCAGCTCGAAGTTATTTGCGGCTATCGTCGGTTTCCTGATTCCCGAATAGTTCTCATTCATAGCTGGAGTTCGGTATTCTCGCATTGTTCGCTCGGGTGGCAGGTTCGGTCTTGGCTGCTCGTGATCTCGTCCTGGCTCTTGATCGTACTCAAAGGCCAGGTGCTCTGGATTTCCTTGATCTTCGGCCATTGGTTCACTTTGTTGGTTGCGCGTGGCCCTTAGTCTACGTAATGTTCTTTCAATCTCGGGATCGTAAGGTATGATTTCCAAATTTCGACGCCTGGGCATAAACAAAGTGAGTGGTTAAGATCAAGGTAAAAATCGAAAATAAAACAAGTAAATGGCTAAAGTAATACTCGGATAATTGGTAACACTATCAACATAGATAAAATCAAATTGGTCCCCGGCAACGGCGCCAAAAACTTGATACGCGTTTTCCTCACGTATAAATTACCGCAAGTATACGGTATCGCATTTTGCAGAACAGTGGTTCCGGATATCGATCCACAGGGACCTTGTAGATTCAAATGCTGAGTAGTGTAATTATATTATCGTTATATTATCTAGCCGATCGTAAATAAGTGGATTGGTGAGAAACCCTAATTTAAAAGCATGCAAGAACGTAAACATGCAAATATAAAATGTACGTAAAATAAAGTAACGACAACTCAACGCGGGGGACTTCGATTTAAAAGGGACTTCTAGGGCCAAATCCACCTAGGTATAATCAACAACGATCGACAAATCCACCATCTAAAATCACGTTCCTATTCGTTAACCCAGACGCTAATATACTCTAACCCCCGTCTCCAGTGTAGCTAGAGTCTACCCACAGGTCCGACGTCTCCGTTCAGAACCTGCTATTAAGAGAGCATTTAGGTCAAGTCCTTAAGGGCTACCCGAAGTGCATCACGTCTCCGTTTCCACACCCCGGGCTATGTTTTCCTAACTTCAAACAAGAAATCCTCTCTCGAGTTCATTCCTATTTAATATCAGTCTGAGAGCTGATCAACACAATCAGAAGCATTTAATACAGGAAAACATAAACGAAATCAAAACACGACAATTAGAAAGTAGAAATGACGATCGAAATCAATATATACAAGGCTTCATTACCCTAGAAGAAAATGTTCTTAGTTCATAACAAACATAGTATCAAAAGAATGTACAAAGGAAATGAAGAACAAAACGTAAAGAAATTGCGTAAGAAAAACCCAAGTCGGAACCCCCGTTGATGATTCCCGCGAAGAACCGTCGAAAACCGTAAAAAGTCGAAGAAGAATGAAGAGTGAGGGCTTGCTTCTATTTATAGTAAATTGCAAAGCTTCCTCAAGAAGCTTTGCAATTTAAAATATCTAGCCTTGAAAAACGCGCCAGATCGCGATCCAATAAAGCCAGATCGCGATCTGGCTTCTTTAAAAAAAACGCGAACCGCCTCCCAGATCGCGATCCAGGAAGTGCGGATCGCGATCTGGGTCTGAATCTAGTCTGCCACTGGAATTTGTCACCAGATCGCGATCCGACTTTCCTGGATCGCGATCTGGGTCTGAACTTTGCACACTACTGGAATTTGCCCCCAGATCGCGATCCGGCTTTCCTGGATCGCGATCTGGGTCTTAATGACCACTTTCTCGGCTTGAAAAAAATCGGTTTCGCTTCCAAATGGCTTCGACTTGGCAACAAAAGCTAACAAAACCTAAAAAAGGAAATAAAACAAGAAACGCAATAATATACACAAATAAAGCCGAAACTCGGACGAACGAAGACCAAAACTCGAAGATTTGATAAGCAAAAATCGTGCAAAACGAACACTTATCAGACTGCGCTGACGGCATTAGCTGATGTAGCTAAGTATAGTAGGAGGGTGTCTCCGGGCTGAGGTTTTGTGAGCAGGGGTGGGGATGCTAAGTATGACTTCAGCTCAACGAATGCCTTTTGACATGCCTCATCCCACTCGAACTTTTTTCCTCCCCTTAAAATTTTGAAAAAGGGGAGAGCCTTGTCCGCTGATCCTGAAATGAATCTGTTCAGGGATGCCAAACAGCCGTTGAGCTGTTGAACTTTCTTGATCGATGTTGGCGGAGCCATGGAGGTGATTGCTTCAATTTTCGCGGGGTTAGCTTCGATTCCTCGTTGTGAAATCATATATCCCAAAAATTTGCCTCCCCGAACTCCGAATGAACATTTGAGGGGGTTGAGCTTCATCTTATATTTTCGCAGGGTGGCGAAGCACTGATCAAGATCCGTTAGGTGGTCCGAGACCTTAACACTTTTGACGAGCATGTCGTCGATGTACACCTCCATATTTTTACCGATCTGATCTGCGAACATTTTGTTCACTAGACGCTGGTAGGTGGCTCCTGCGTTTTTCAACCCGAAGGGCATGACTTGATAGCAGTAGATGCCTTGGTCGGTGATGAAACTGGCCCTCTCTTGATCTTCTGGCGCAAGTAAGATCTGGTTATACCCTTGGTATGCGTCGAGGAAGCTGAGGAGCTCGCATCCTGAGGTCGAATCGATGAGTTGATCGATTCTAGGCAGAGGAAAAGGGTCCTTAGGACAAGCTTTGTTGAGGTCGGTGAAGTCTACGCATAGTCTCCACTTCCCCCCGGGTTTGGGAACGAGTACTACGTTCGACAACCATTCAGGATATTGAACCGGTCGTATGTGGCCTGCGTCGAGGAGTTTTGCCACTTCCGCTTTGATATGCTTGTTGCGTTCGGGACCAAATGTCCGTTTCCTCTGTTTGACTGGCTTCAACCTCTTATCGACGTTAAGCCGATGCAGGGCTACCTGAGGGGGAATGCCCGACAAATCTTGGGCTTTCCATGCGAACACATCTCCATTGTGTCGTAGGAAGTTGATAAGCTGCTGCTCCGTGGTTGGATCTAAATCAGATCCTATCCGTATGAGCTTGGAGGTATCTCCGGGAGTGAGTTCTATGAGCTTAAGTTCTTCAACAGCTGCTAGCTTGATGCTGTCATCCGGCACACTGATGAGGATTTCTTTATTATCCTCAATGACCGCGTTGACCCACTTCCGTTTGTCGGATTTTTGGGTGTCGTCTCCCTTCCCGGGTGGTTTAAGCTTCTTGGAAGGTTCTCGTAGGGCCCTTGCATAGCACTCTCGAGCGAGACGTCTATCTCCAAGTACTTCCCCCATTCCATAGGGAGTAGGGAACTTCCACTTCTGATGATAGGAGGAAGGCACCGACTTAAATGTGTGGATTGCTGGCCTCCCCAGAATGATGTTGTAGGGTGATGGCCTGTCGACGATGAGGAACTTGATTAGTTTTGTGATCCGACAGGGGTCTTCCCCTAACGAAACTGGCAGTTCCACTTCTCCCATGGATAAAATGCCTTCTCCTGTGAATCCTTTCAGGGGTGTGGCAACGGGATTAAACCGGGCATTATCTATGCCTAGCTGTTTAAAAGCGTGGAGATACATGATGTCGGCTGAGCTTCCACCGTCCACTAATATCTTCTTGACCAAGAAGTTGGCCACCGTTGTTGTTACTACCAGTGCATCGACATGGTCTTCATCCGGACCTTCGAGGTCGGAGGAGTTGAAGACTATGCTGTGATCAGGTTTTCGTATTTGATATATGCGTGCGGAGGGAGAAGCATGTTCTTGATTCATGCGTGCTGATCGAGCGAGGGTGCGTCTTGCATTTTGTGAATCGCCACCCGCCGGTCCTCCGGAGATAAAAGAGATGATTCCTCGGATAGGCTGGTTATCGTTGTTATCTAGGTCACGTCGATGACCTCCATCCTCTCGTCTTTGCTGTTGATCTCGATTGTTATCTCGGCGTGGAGGATCATCACGGCGCTTATTTCTAGGCTTATCAATGTATTCGCCTAAATGGCCCTGTTTGATCAGCCTCTCAATCGCCATTTTGAGTTGTGCACATTCTTCCGTAGTATGCCCTCTGTCCTTATGGAATCGACAATAACGATCCGATTTTTCTCGCTTTGCGTTTGGCTGCATAGGACGTGGAGGTTCTGCTAAACCTTTCTGCTCTATCACGTGAAGGATTTCCGTGAGGCGAGCGTTTAGCGGAGTGAACCTATTGTAGGAGGAAGAGGGTTGGCCTTGAGGTGGAAGTGGGGGACGTCGATCGTCGCGCCTCCTATTGTCCTGACGGTCATCTTCCCTTTTTCTTTTAGGAGGAGCATGGGTAGAGGAGGGAGGTTATTAGCTGTATCGTTTTCTCTCCGAGCTGACGCCTCAGGAGGATCTTGTTGGCTACGTGATCTGGTTTGCATCGTTCCCACAGACGGCGCCAAAATGATGATGCTTCAGTGTAGCTCACCTAGGGGGTATGGAAAAATGAGTTGGGAGAGCAAAGCGGATCAGTAGCTTGATAACTCGATGCTCCTGAGGTCCCTACAAAATAAGCACACGTGAACTAAGCCGGGGGTTGATCCGGCGGAAACCCCTCCGACGCTCAAGTCAGATGTACAGATCGTAGAGAGAATAAACTCGTGGTGGATTATAATAATGAGAACGTACCTTTACAAATGAATAAAACTTCTATTTATATGTCGTTGATTGAATTGGGCTTATATTATTGGGCCCAAACCTTACTTTGAAGGTACTCTGGCTTTCGTGTAATGGGCTCGAGTACTTTCGTGTATTGGGCCTAATTATTAAATAAATTGGGGCCCATTGGGTCGGCCCAATTAGGTATATCACAACCTTTATCACTTTCTTTAAATTGTCAAGGATTTGTAGTAATTAGCCCATAAGGTGAAAGTAAAAAGTAAATTAAGTTAAAGTAAATAACCACTAAAGATGAAGATTTTTTAATTTTTGCTTTTTTTTGGAGACAATAGAGGAAACAACCACTAAAGATAACTCAAATTTCTGATGAACTATGGAAAAGGGAAATGAAATGGTTCAGAAGAAGAAAGATAACGGTATATGAGATGTTACATCAGGTGAAAAACATCGGGTTATGCACCATAAATATATATAAATAATTATTTATTAAGCACACATACATGTGGGAATATAACTCTTTCGTCGAAGCAAATGATGGTGAATAGGAAGAGCGGTGTTTGACAGGTGTTAATGGAGGTTGGCAAAGACGGAATTTTGGATAATTACATTACTCGCAACAAATGGGGGCAGTTCTGCTATTTTCGTTTTTTTAGCTTTCTTTGGCAGCTTTATATTTTATTTCATTT